TTTTTTTTTTTCTTTTTATGGAATTGAAGAATTTCTCCTCTTTAAAATTGAATACTGAAATATTAGAGTTTAGCTAGACTAGGAAGACTGAACATTTTCTCCTTGAATGTACGCAGTTTATTTTCTTAATTCTTTAATTTCATGAAAAGAAACAATAAGATATTTCAGATTGAGGATTTTTTTCCCTCAAATAAATGTGCAGTTTTTTTGGTAAGCAAAATACATTTCCATCATTGCTTTGATTGGTAATTAGTCATGTGAGATATTCTGAGAACATCTCTGACAAGGGTATTTTAGAGTGATAGGAAAAAACATGAATAAAGAAAAACAGGAATGTTCTATAACATCCTTACTTGAAAAGTTTTGAAAATTTTCTGTTGTTTTATTGTTAATCTGAACCAATTTTTTCTAGACCTTGGAAGAGCAAATTTGCAAATCAGGGATGGATAAATGAGAGAATTTCACAGACTTGTTATTTGGGAATTTGTTTGTTAATAATTCTTGGACTCAGTTCCAATGTATCCAGTTTCTCTTTATTCTTAATTTGAGTATGAATGCTTTAATCAATATAGGACTATTTATTGACACTTCTGAAATTGATAGAAATCTTTAGGAATGTGTGAGACAAACAAAATTAAAGTTGGAGCCAACTTTTTGAGCTTCTTATTCTCCCTTATAGATTGACAGGAAGTGAGTTTATTTTGTGCTGTTCACATCAGGGCCTCAGTTCTACAGGTTCATTGGCAAACTGGAGCATTAGCTAAAAAAGACCTTTTACTGTTCTTATAACTTTACTTGGAGAGTTTTCAACCAACAATATCCCATATGGCCTTATAATGTACATTTATTTATGTCCCGCCTTATTCCAAGAAGGATTTGAGTGAGGTACAGTATACATAAAACACAGTGAAGTAAAATAAATATGCTTGGAAATTGGACCACAAAGGAGAATAAAAGTAAAGCCAATAGTAAGCCATAAATTTGACTCCAAATTTCCCAGTAGCAAAAATAAAGAGAAAAGCCAAGAACAAAGCAAGATTCACAAAGACAATAAGATAAAGATCAGTTATAGACTGGACTACATCAAAATTAAATACTTTTGTGCCACATCAAGGAAGTGAAAAGACAACCCACAGAATGGGTGAAAATATTTTCAAATCATATATCTTGTAAGGATCTGGTATCCAGAAAAGGATTCCTACAACTGAGTGATAAAAAAGACAATTCAATTTAAAAATGGGTAAAGAATTTGAATTGACATTTTCCCAATGAAGACATACAAATGGCAAATGAAAAGATGTTCAACATCATTACACATTCAGGAAATGCAAATCAAAACTGCAATGAGATACCATTTTATACCCACTAGGATGGCTGTGTTAAAAAAGACAGTTAATAAGAGGTGTTGTGGGCCGGCCCGGTGGCGCACTGGAGAGTGCGCCGCTTGGGAGTGCGGCAGCGCTCCCACTGAGGCGCGACACTGAGGGTTGCGATCCCGTTACCGGTCAGTAAAAAAGACAAAAAGGAAAAAAAAATAAAAAAGAGGTGTTGTGCTGGCTGGTTAGGCCAGTTGGTTAGAGGGCAGCCGTGTAACACCAAGGTCAAGGGTTCGGCTCCTCATACTGCCAGCTGCCATAAAAAAAAAAAAAAAAAAAAAAAAAAGGAAGAAGTGTTGATGAGAATGTTGAGAATGTGGAGAAATTGGGACCCTGATACACTACTGCTGGAGGGAATATAAAATGGTGCAGCTGCTTTGGAAAACATTCTAGCAGTTGTTTAAACAATTAAATGTAGAGTTACCATACAACTCAGCAATTTCAGTCGTAGTTATTGACCCCCAGAGAAATTAAAATATGTCCACACAAAAATTTGTACACAAATGGAATTCTTCATAATAGCCAAAAAGTGGAAACAACCCAAATGTTCATCAACTGGATAAACAAAATGTGGTTTATGCAATGGAATACTCTTCAGCCATGAAAAGGAATGAAGTACAGGTACATGCTTCAGCGTGAGTGAACTTTGAAACCTGTGCTAAATGAAAGAATTCAGACTAGGTATTATATGACTCCATTCACATGAAATGTCTAGAACAGGCAAATCTATAGAGACAGAAAGTAGATTAATGGCTGACTAGGGCTCAGGGGATAGGGGAGAGAGGGAAATGGGAAGTGACTGCTAATGATTAGGGGATTCTTCTTTGGGGTGATGAGAATATTCTAAACACAGATTGTGGTGATGGTTGCACAACTCTGTATTAAAGTTGTTGGCTTGTATACTTGAAACAAGTGAATTTTATGGTATATGTGAATTATATTTCAGTAAAGACGTTAAAAAGAAAAAAATTGTTCGGTTAGTTTTATATGACTGTTTCTTATAATGTTCCTCAATGCAGGTTGCTATCTTAATACCCAGTGCAAAAAGCAATTTTATAAGGGACCCAAACAAGGTAGTACTAGTACGTGTTTCACCACATAGTTTTTAAACTCTAATTAGACCAGCACTTTCAGGCAAAGCTTTGTTCTCCAACTTCTATCAGTGCATCAGTGATGTACTGTTAGAAGGCACTATAGTTTTCTTGTGAAGTGTATTTGTTCTATTTAAGATTAGAGATGGTGTGATGTTGCTTTAACACATGCCTACATATGGTTGACAAAATAAGCACTTGATAAGTTGATTCCAAATATCCATTTTTAACATTGTGTTAGGAAGTTAACTTTGCAGTTTTTTTCATATTCTCCACTCTTACTGATGTGTAAAGCCTTGGGAACAGCAAACTGTTACTGTCCATTATTCTTCCCTGTCTTCTTTTAGAAAATTGGTATTGGAGGAACTGACAGGGTTCTGCTAACAGGATCTTTATTCCTACAGCCTGTAACCTTTTCATATATTAGGGTTTTTACCGTGCAAGAAAGAAGATGCAAGGAAGTTTACCTGTTGGTACTAATTTTTAAATTGCTTCCTTTTCCATCTCTAAGGGAGAAGAGGGCTTTCTTAGTACGGTAATTAGCTTGCCCTCTTGAACACTGAATGGAAGCTGCCGTATGGGTTAGAAATTTTGCCTCTGTATCTCTAATTCCAGATGGGTACATGAATTTGCACTGGGAATTGAGTAGTTCAATGTCTTTTCCCTGAATAAGAAATGACCCCCACTTGTAACCCATTTTTCTCTCCTTCCAAATGCCAGTCTCCTATTCAAAAGTCACTCTTTTTTATCAAGTAATTTAAAATACAGTGGGACCCCACATAAGTTGCTTGAGAACAGTAAGTAGTTTTAAATTTGCTTTTTGAATAGGACCCAGCAGCAGCTTACTTAATACTGTCTGAGCTATTACAAACTAAAGAATGGGGGTGATGTTAAGTTATTTAATTTGACAAGCTATTTTGATATGTGGATGTCAAGACATAAACTATCAGTTTGCTGTTTAAAATGAAGAGAGCAATGTGCCTACACCACTTAAAAAGCTAAAAATATTAGAAACTCTCCCCACCTCATATTCCCCCCCTAATTTAGTTTCTCATTAATCCTCCCCACTTCATATCCACAGACACCCCTCCTGATTTAGTTTCTTGCAATAATCCTCTTGCTTCTCTGACTAGTCAGCTTTTATTATGGAAGGGATAGGCTAGCAGGGGAACCCTGGGATGTCTGTGCTGGCAGCACTGCGGGTGGATTACTCACTCTTTTTCTGTCTTCATTTTTGCATGCCACCGCTGCTGCCCTCTTACAGCCACAGTAGAAGCAGTAGAGGCCCGGGAAGGTATGGCCATGTTGCTCTGATAGATGTGATCATGTGTCTGTCTATTAGTTTTCAAAAGCTTTATAAACATTTCAAATATTTTGTTATTGCATCACCAGAACTGTAACAGTGAGAAAAGGAATAGATATTTCTAGGCGTGTTCACAAAGCAAGTGTTTCTTTGTGTCCTGTACTTGTATTAATTTAAGTGACCTTCACCACAACTAAAGTCCTTTCTGGGCTCAGTTTTAATGCAATGGCCGAAGCTTAAGCAACTGGTCATGAGACTCAAGTGGTTTTAATCCTATATCCCTTCCATATACAAGAGACATCCGTTTGATTACAAGAGATTCAGACAGGTCAGCCTCTTTATCTTACTAAGGGATATCAAAAGCAGAGGCGAAAGTTGACTGGAATTTAGTTGGATTCATTTCTGAGATTGCCCTAAGGGAGTCAAACCAAATTATCTTTGTTTCTGTGGAAACATATTTTAAGTAATATTACCTGTGAATTTGTGGATGAAAACTATTGTAATTAATAAATCTGTGTTATAAATTTAATTTTTATTAAGTAGGGTGGTTCAAACTGGGAATGCCTTTCCTTGATGCTATAAAAGTTGAATCAGACTTGATACTAGTAACACCGGATCCCCTAACCAACCAGCCACCAAAAAAAAAAAAAAAGTCGAATCAGAAGGAAAATATCTAGAAGCTATTTTGACTGTTTCTAACTTACAGCTCCTGGTTGTGCAAGATGAAGTGCTGTCCTAAACAAAAAGATTAGCTCTTTTATTACTTTTGTGTGGTTAATGTGGTGTTTGTACTTAAAGCAACTACTCTGTGTTTAACTTGTTCTGTTATTCTAGTGTTGCCTTTTTCCTAGCATCGAGCATGTTTCTGGCCCATAAGAAACTTAAATATATTGGGACTAAATAAGAACATGTTAGCTTTTTGTCAGGTATACTTTTGCCATGATAACTTATACTGAACTTTTATGAAAACTATTTTTACAGTTTCAGCTACCATTTGGTTGCCTTAAAGAAGCAGTCAGTAGCTTCAGACAAGGCTGATTCAATCAAGTATTGCTTATTACCTTCACCAGACACGTGCTCCTTTGCCACCTTTCTATTTTTCCCTAGGAAGTTGCTGTGTGCTAAGAAACTTTTTTAAGCTTGCTACTTTGCTGCCTAATTGAGTGCTCCCCATCCCCTTTTCCTGTTTTTCTGTAGCCATCAGAGGGTTTTCGCTTCAGCACAAGATCCGGAGTTTTGAAGAAGCCCGAGGTCTGGACCGAATTAATGAGCGCATGCCACCCCGAAAAGATGGCATACACCCTGATGGGCCAGTGAAATCGGTAACCCCTGTACATACAAATGCTACGCACAGGAGTGACCAGGGGAAGAAAGCCCAGTAATGACTCAAGGTCCTGCTGTGGCCCAGGCGGATCTAAAACTTAGAACAAATTTTATTTATTTATTACTGGAAAATGAAACAAAAACAACTCAAACAACTTAAACCTGGAGGTGCATTCATAATTCAGTCTGCATTTATTCTGTAAGAAAGGTGACCATTTTATAAATTCTTTTAATTATGTTCAGTATATGTGTATACAAATTGCATCTGTTTTGTTTTTCCCCTTTTCCCCATAATTTTTAGGAACTCATCTGATTGTTGTCAATACACATGTGAACTCTTGTGCTATAAAGGGGAAGTTCCTCTAATAAAAGGGCCTTGGAAACCTCAACCCTGGGTTTCATGAACTAGTCAGCCTTTACTCTTGTTTTTGGAAGGTAATACTGTATCTTTCATTTAAGACTAATAACTTTTCAAACGCAAGAGGGCTCTTCTCGTTTTCATTTTTTTCCTTCCTGCTGGGTAGCATTGAAGAAAAGCCGCTTAGATTTCAGTGGCTAAAATTGCTTCTCTTCTGATGAAAAACTTGATTATAGTAGAACTTCTAAGTTAATAACCCAAACCCAGTGATTTTAAGGACTGAGGGGAAATATTTTCCATAATAACCCACTTTCTTCTCGATTCTCAATTCCTTTAATATGTTCTAGTAAAGCAAAATTAAAAATAATGAGGGATTTTCTTAGAGTTACTTATAATTTGCCCACCTAACTGTGGGCATGATTAGTTTAAACTTCCCTTAAAACTTTGGAGAAGAAAGATTTTCAAAAAGTTTTAACTGTTGCCAGATTCTTTTGCTTTCATTTTGAACCCCAGGTGACCTACCCCATCTGCAAAGGAAGTTTCATTTCTAAATATTTTATAAATGCCCTCAGCAGAGCCTTCAGCAGTAAGAAATATTTATGCCCGTCTATACTATTGCATTAGCTCTATTTTCTCCATCGTCCTTCTGTTTTTCCCTGTCAGTATTCTGAAACTGACTGAGGTAATAGAAACTGATGAGGGTGGGATGATCCCCTTGTGAATTGAAAGTCTTGCTAAAGGGCATTGAATGAGTGAGGATTTCCTGTCTTCTACATCAAGAGATGTTTCTCCATCTTTCAACACTCACTAGGTTGAATTGTATGTCAACCTCCATTAGCATATTTTGAAGTACAAAAACAAGTGTTCAGATATAATGCTAGAATAATCTTCCCTTAGCTTGTTTTCCAGGTCACAACCAACTAGTGAAAGAAATTTAGAGGATATTTAGGCTGCTATTTTTGGTTTACCCTGATCATAGCAGTCCTGTCGTAGTACTCACTGGTCAGCTCTACAATGATTATGCATGTCTGGGCACACNTCCATATACAAGAGACATCCGTTTGATTACAAGAGATTCAGACAGGTCAGCCTCTTTATCTTACTAAGGGATATCAAAAGCAGAGGCGAAAGTTGACTGGAATTTAGTTGGATTCATTTCTGAGGTTGCCCTAAGGGAGTCAAACCAAATTATCTTTGTTTCTGTGGAAACATATTTTAAGTAATATAATTACTAAGGGATATCAAAAGCAGAGGCGAAAGTTGACTGGAATTTAGTTGGATTCATTTCTGAGATTGCCCTAAGGGAGTCAAACCAAATTATCTTTGTTTCTGTGGAAACATATTTTAAGTAATATTACCTGTGAATTTGTGGATGAAAACTATTGTAATTAATAAATCTGTGTTATAAATTTAATTTTTATTAAGTAGGGTGGTTCAAACTGGGAATGCCTTTCCTTGATGCTATAAAAGTTGAATCAGACTTGATACTAGTAACACCGGATCCCCTAACCAACCAGCCACCAAAAAAAAAAAAAAAGTCGAATCAGAAGGAAAATATCTAGAAGCTATTTTGACTGTTTCTAACTTACAGCTCCTGGTTGTGCAAGATGAAGTGCTGTCCTAAACAAAAAGATTAGCTCTTTTATTACTTTTGTGTGGTTAATGTGGTGTTTGTACTTAAAGCAACTACTCTGTGTTTAACTTGTTCTGTTATTCTAGTGTTGCCTTTTTCCTAGCATCGAGCATGTTTCTGGCCCATAAGAAACTTAAATATATTGGGACTAAATAAGAACATGTTAGCTTTTTGTCAGGTATACTTTTGCCATGATAACTTATACTGAACTTTTATGAAAACTATTTTTACAGTTTCAGCTACCATTTGGTTGCCTTAAAGAAGCAGTCAGTAGCTTCAGACAAGGCTGATTCAATCAAGTATTGCTTATTACCTTCACCAGACACGTGCTCCTTTGCCACCTTTCTATTTTTCCCTAGGAAGTTGCTGTGTGCTAAGAAACTTTTTTAAGCTTGCTACTTTGCTGCCTAATTGAGTGCTCCCCATCCCCTTTTCCTGTTTTTCTGTAGCCATCAGAGGGTTTTCGCTTCAGCACAAGATCCGGAGTTTTGAAGAAGCCCGAGGTCTGGACCGAATTAATGAGCGCATGCCACCCCGAAAAGATGGCATACACCCTGATGGGCCAGTGAAATCGGTAACCCCTGTACATACAAATGCTACGCACAGGAGTGACCAGGGGAAGAAAGCCCAGTAATGACTCAAGGTCCTGCTGTGGCCCAGGCGGATCTAAAACTTAGAACAAATTTTATTTATTTATTACTGGAAAATGAAACAAAAACAACTCAAACAACTTAAACCTGGAGGTGCATTCATAATTCAGTCTGCATTTATTCTGTAAGAAAGGTGACCATTTTATAAATTCTTTTAATTATGTTCAGTATATGTGTATACAAATTGCATCTGTTTTGTTTTTCCCCTTTTCCCCATAATTTTTAGGAACTCATCTGATTGTTGTCAATACACATGTGAACTCTTGTGCTATAAAGGGGAAGTTCCTCTAATAAAAGGGCCTTGGAAACCTCAACCCTGGGTTTCATGAACTAGTCAGCCTTTACTCTTGTTTTTGGAAGGTAATACTGTATCTTTCATTTAAGACTAATAACTTTTCAAACGCAAGAGGGCTCTTCTCGTTTTCATTTTTTTCCTTCCTGCTGGGTAGCATTGAAGAAAAGCCGCTTAGATTTCAGTGGCTAAAATTGCTTCTCTTCTGATGAAAAACTTGATTATAGTAGAACTTCTAAGTTAATAACCCAAACCCAGTGATTTTAAGGACTGAGGGGAAATATTTTCCATAATAACCCACTTTCTTCTCGATTCTCAATTCCTTTAATATGTTCTAGTAAAGCAAAATTAAAAATAATGAGGGATTTTCTTAGAGTTACTTATAATTTGCCCACCTAACTGTGGGCATGATTAGTTTAAACTTCCCTTAAAACTTTGGAGAAGAAAGATTTTCAAAAAGTTTTAACTGTTGCCAGATTCTTTTGCTTTCATTTTGAACCCCAGGTGACCTACCCCATCTGCAAAGGAAGTTTCATTTCTAAATATTTTATAAATGCCCTCAGCAGAGCCTTCAGCAGTAAGAAATATTTATGCCCGTCTATACTATTGCATTAGCTCTATTTTCTCCATCGTCCTTCTGTTTTTCCCTGTCAGTATTCTGAAACTGACTGAGGTAATAGAAACTGATGAGGGTGGGATGATCCCCTTGTGAATTGAAAGTCTTGCTAAAGGGCATTGAATGAGTGAGGATTTCCTGTCTTCTACATCAAGAGATGTTTCTCCATCTTTCAACACTCACTAGGTTGAATTGTATGTCAACCTCCATTAGCATATTTTGAAGTACAAAAACAAGTGTTCAGATATAATGCTAGAATAATCTTCCCTTAGCTTGTTTTCCAGGTCACAACCAACTAGTGAAAGAAATTTAGAGGATATTTAGGCTGCTATTTTTGGTTTACCCTGATCATAGCAGTCCTGTCGTAGTACTCACTGGTCAGCTCTACAATGATTATGCATGTCTGGGCACACTTCAGGTCACAACCAACTAGTGAAAGAAATTTAGAGGATATTTAGGCTGCTATTTTTGGTTTACCCTGATCACAGCAGTCCTGTCGTAGTACTCACTGGTCAGCTCTACAATGATTATGCATGTCTGGGCACACTACATCAAAGCACGGAAAATGTAAATTTATGGAATTTCTTAATGTCATTTGGGATGTGGGAGTCCAACATTGAAATAAGTATCTCAGACAGAAGAATTTCATGTTGGGAACTTCAGGGAAACCAGAAAAACAAAAAACAACATAATTTTGTTTTTTCAAAAACCCATAATTTTCATTAGAAGAATGAAGACTTAGCCCATCTATCTCTGTTTTCTTGTACCTTTTGCTAACAGTTCCTGATTTGTTTATGACAGAGATCGAAGCATTTTGGCAATCTGCCTGCATGGATTGCTCTGTTAATAAAAAGATTAGAAGGATATTGTGGACAGAGATAAAGGATCTCTTACTGCATTGAAGTAAAACCTGTGAAAAAAGGGAAAAAAGTATTGAGTAGCTGTCTTTCATTACTTAATACTCAAAGAGGGCATTAATCACCTGGACATCCTCATACTCCTTCCTCCCCCAATCCCAGTATTAGGAAAGATCCTGTCTTTTGAAACCTTACCTATGAAAGTCAGTTCACGTGACATATTGAGGAGATGGGAGTCCCTTATCCCTTCCTCCTTTTCATTAAGGCCATTGTTATGCATACACAATCCAGAAACCACTCTTTTTTTTTTGGCAGCTGGCTGATTTCCCTTAACCTTGGTGTTATCAGCACCGCTGCTGCTCTAACCAACTGAGCTAACTGGCCAGCCCTGGTAAACTTTTATAAGCAAAAAATAATATTTTACTAGTTAAAAAGGATGCTTATTTAGGAATGTCTGTTATCTTCTCAAAAAGAAGTAGTATGATAAAGCAAGTTTCCTTGACAAAAGCATCCCAAATGATATTTCACTGGAGTACCCTCTGAGATGTTGAGGCATCAGCTGGAGTAGAGAGGAAAGAAGTTATGACTCAAGAAAATCTGAGTGAGTTTAAAATAGAGCAACAACAGCTCTTGAATGAAGCTAGGTTTGAAAATTCTGTTGAACTCTAAAGGTAAAGATATTTTTTCTGTTCTGTAGAAAGCTGGGTGTGTATTTCAACATTTACAAGTTGTGTGGTTAAAAAAAAATTGTGTGTCCATTTGATACAGATAGCTTCTTAAACTGAGGCTCTTAAATGGTATACCTACATTTATATGCATTTGCACCTATGACTCAAACCAGCTTAGAAGACATGAACCTTGGGAATGTGTTGTAATCAGTACTTTTTCTTCACTTTAGACTTCATTGGAGGGTTTTAACATATTTTTGAATGTTTTAATCTAAATAACAGCTTCCAAGAGGACTGGATGCCTGCCCTGGTCTTGCCCTAGGACTGCTGTCGGAGCCTAGGGCCATAATTTCAAACAAACATCTTAACTGCTGGAAAAGCTCTGCAGTGTTGGTGTTTTCAAAGCTTCTCTTTTAAAAAATCTTTCCTGGTGTTTGTTCTAAAGATGCTAAAAATAGTTTTCTGTTGCTCTGGTTCAC